AATGAGAATGATATGCACTAATCTCATACATAAAATGTTGAGTGAAAGTATGGAGTATGATTTATTTTTATTTATTTATTTTCATATTATATTAAAAATGGATTGAATTAATCTGTCAGATACTGATATGTTGGGAAGTGATTAGTAAACAGATACAGCCAAAAGATTATGGGTGAAGGCTTCTAGGATGCTTGTAATGTTTCCTGATTTGAGTGCTGGTTATAAAGATGAGCTTACTTTGTGAGATAGTCTCAAACTATCCACATAAGTCATCTGTATTTACATTGACTCAGACTTCAGTAAAGCATACTGTTTCTTGATTTGGGCACTAGCTTCATGGGTATTCTCATTTTATGAAAAATAATTGACCTACATATATTTGATTAGTGAATTTTAAGACATATTTACTGAACTTCAAAAATGTTTAAAATATAAAATGGAAAAATTAAAAATGGATATATTGCTCTATCTCTGAAATCAGCTATGACTATAGATATACATAAAACTGAAATTGAATAGAAAGAGGATATAAGTCCCTTCTCTGTCAGCTGAAGTAATACTTCTTAAGCCATTTTCCCTGCAAAGATCTTAAATACCTACCTACGCCATTTTTAATCATTTGTCCTAAAAATATATAATGAATTACTCAGCCATAAAAAAGAATGACAATGACTTTATGACTTTTGCTGATAAATGGATGGATCTTGAGACTGTCATGCTAAGTGAAATAAGCTAATCCCCAAAAAATCAAAGTTCAAATGTTCTCTCTGATATGCCAAGCTAACACATAATAAGATGGGCAGGGGTGAGATTAGAAGTTCAATGGATTAGACAAAGGGCAATTAAGGGAGGGGAGGAGGGATAAAAATAGGAAAGATGGTAGAATGAATCAGACATAACTTTCCTATGTTCATATATGAAAATACCACTGGTGAAATTCCACATCATATACAACCACAAGAATAGTATCCTATTAGAATAAGTTATACTCCATGAATGTATAATATGTCAAAATACACTCTGCTGTCATGTATATCTAAAAAGAACAAATAAAAAAGGAAAAAATAAAAATATATAATGATTCTGAAAGAATGAGGGAAGGAGTATGAAAAGGGGAGGGGAAGGGAGAGCTTTAACAAATTTGAGAGAATTAGAGATTTACTTTATTCACTGAAAACTTTTTTTTTTTGTACTGTGAATGAAACTTAGGGGTACCCGACCACTGAGCCACATCCCCAGCCCTATTTTGTATTTTGTTTAGAGACAGGGTCTCACTGAGTTGCTTAGTGCCTCACTGTTACCGTGACTGGCTTTTAACTCATGATCCTCCTGTCTCAGCCTCTTGAGCCTCTGGGATTACATGTATGTGCCACCGTGCCCAGCCCCCACTGAAAACTTAAAATCTCCCTTTCTCTCTGCTTACCCCTCTCCAGTCCTCTTGAGAATTATTGCTCAAATATTCATGGTCACTTGCCTTTTTTTTTTTTGCTTCAATTCTAAATTTAAGATACTAGTATAAACAAAATGTTTAATGGAGTTGACCAATAGAGAAAAATTAATCATCAAATAAATAAAACTGAACATAATAACAGGTGTGGTGGCACATGCCTCTAAACCTGGCTTCTTGGGAGATTCAGGTAGGAAAAACATGAATTAGTTTAGGGCCAGTTTAGGCAACTTAACAAGACCCAGTTTCAAAATAAAAATTAAAAGGCTGGAATATAGCTCAATGGCAGGGTGACTTGACTGCCTAGCATGCACCAGGTAGTGGGTTTGATCCCTAGTACCCCCTCCACCCCACCCATACAGAGAACGAAAAAGAAAGAAAAAACATGAATATCACAGTTGTCATTTCCTGATTATTTCCTGATATATACTGAGAAAAATTTGTGGAGAACTTATCAGACTCTCTGAAAATCTGTATATATGCCACTGAATAATTATAAACTATAGGCCTAGAACCCAGGGGAATTAAGGTTAAATTTAGCTTTTTTTTAATTCCTAACTGGGTTTTTAAAAATTGTGTCTCTCTTAATTTTCAAATCTATAAATGAAAATAATGATTCCTTTTAATAGGATCAACTGCTTTGAATTACTTAGCATTTTATAAATTACTGCATGTACTATGCATGTTTACTATGAAAACAAATGCAAAGAGCTTTTTTAAAATAAAGTATAGGATCCTAACTAAGCAGAGAAACATTATTTTGTTTATTCCTATAATTTATGATTAGAAATAAAAATATTCATTATCATAACTTAGATTTATGCCTTTTTTGCTCTAATTATGGCAGCATGATTAGAAAGATCCTCATAAGATAAACAAATTAAGGTAGCATGAACTTAAATGTTTATCTTGGGTTTTTTTAATTTAAAGTTTTAAATTATTGTTACAAGTATACTTATTAAGACATGTTTTTTTAACATTTCTAATTTTTTAATACTAGTATTTCAACAAAGCTTGAGTGCTGATTTTATTAATTTTGTTATAGTTAAAATATTCATTTCCTTTACTAAAATCATAAGTGATTTTAAAGGAAAAAATTGTCTTCTTAGAGTCTCATTACAGCTTCTGATCCCTATTTTATTAAACTTTACATTTAAGTTCTAGTATGTTTTCCTTCATTAAGTGCCCTAATATATTTTTATTGCAGAACTAGATTCTCACCTGACTCAAGTATACATCCACTTATATAAATAAAATAAAAATAAATCATGGAGAAACACTTAACATGATAAAAAAAAAAAACAATTTCAAAATTTGTCCACATATTTAATAACACAGTTAAACAGGGACCAGAAATCATATTACTGCTTATCAAAACAAAAATAAATTTTTTCACTTACTGGTTCCTTAATTACTGTTTCATTAACCATTTTTATTTTTCAATTTTCCTTTTGCAAGAAATTTAATAAAAATCAAATAGGTAATCATCGCAAAGATTTCTTTTTCATTAACATATTTGAAGGAGAAAATTTTCACTTCTTTTCTGTCTGTATAACCACAAAATAAATTGGATAATGAAGAGTAAACACAAGCAGGAGAAGAGAAAATCTATTAAAGGACAAAGATAAAGGAAAAACCTAATCAAGGGTTTACAACAGAAGAAAGATTCAAGGTCATATTGCATTTTTTAAATTAAATTTATTTTAACTGGTACAGAGAAACACAAAAAATGTTCATATTAATAAGTATGATGTCATGTTTCAGCATATATATATATATATATATATATATATATATATATATTACAATGTTTAAATCGGGTTAAACACATTATCTTCTGAAACATTTGTCATTTCTTTATGGTACAAAATTTCAAAATATTTTCTTCTAGATTTTTGAAATGTACAGTGCATTACAATTATCTATAGTCACTCTACTGTGCAACAACACACCAGAAATTCTTGCTTTGATTACCCCCTGGGAGACTAGAAAGAAGGAAAATAATTGTGCTTACTTGTAAGAAAGGGAAGGTTTCTGGGAGCTGTCCAATGTACTGAGTGAACTTCATGGCCACAGTTTACCCCCTTAATAGGGGCTGCTGTCCTCGTTGGTTCTCTCTGAAACTAGGGTGCTTCTGTAATCAGGGTTCAAGCTATTTCTTCTAAGTCACCTTTGATATTATTTTCCAAAGTGTTGCTCTGCCCCGCTTGGCTTTTTAAATATGTTTACAATGAATAATTAACCATAGCTATTGGTAAACAAAGAAGGGGGGAAAGCCTTTCTTTGTTAAAATTAGGGATTTTATGAAACTAGTAAAATTTTATTTTAATCATACTAGATTTAAATTTTTTTTTCTCAAAAAGAAAATATCTAAAGACAGCCAATAAATTTCCTGAAGCAGAATTCACTAAGGTATAGTTTCCACTCTTAAAACCTACTTGTAGACGGAACCAAACAAATGGATGAAAATAAGCCCAATAAGAGTGTCAGGATTTTTCTTTGTTCACAAGTAAATACTTGATCAGCAATTTAAAAGTCCAAAGACTCCTCAGCAGAGGGGTGAGCTGATCTACCCTTTGGCTTAACCAAAGATAAATCGTACTTTTGAAAGGAGATTGAAGTAGTTTTGTTGGGGGGTGGGGGGGTGGCGGAGGGTTTGCTTTGTCCCCAACGCTGACAATTATACAGCTAGAGAAAAATTTGTGAACTACCATTTTTCATTTTGTTGTCATGATAACTTTTTCCCTGTAATAAAATCTCCACGTGAGTGGAAGATGAGGGTAGGGAAAGGAAAGTCAAGTATCTCAATTGTTAGGCTGATTGCTACAAACAGACATTTAGAAGTCAGGGTTTGTAACCACGCAGCAGAGTTGTTTGAGATGCCCTAGAAGGAAAAAAAAAAAAAGAAGAAGAAGAAAGCCGGTTCCAACAGCGACTCTGGGGAATGTGCTCTAGGCCCCCCCTGCCATGCTTACTTAAGCTAATGGAAGGTCTTGCCTTTCAGCAGCCGCTGCACTGGGATACCAGACAAACAGCTCCCCTCGACCCCTGGCAGGAAGGGCCCCTCTTCAGGACATCATTAAAAGCACATGCACTTGCTTCACATCCATTGGCAGATGGTGGCAAGATTCAGGACTTCTACCCTGACGCCAAGGAGAAACCATCGCGCTGGAAAATACCTTCGCTTTGAAAATCCAAATCGAAATTAAAGAACTACATGAGATAAGGAGCCTGGAGAACATTAGTTGGCTGCGGGGGTGAAGACAGACACAAAAAGCACACAGCAGGTAAGAACTGGGGTTTGTTGCCAAGAAGGAACTGTCCGCGTGGCGCAGCGAAAAGATCTCAGAAGTGGAGGCCTTTCCTTCTGCGCCCTCCAGGCGTACTCAAGCTTGTCTTCCTTCATTAGCTTCCAGAGGAGGGACGTTGTCAGAGTCTCCCCAATCGGGGCGACTAATCCTGTTATCAGCTTGGTAATAAATATTAATGTCCCCCAGCCAGCCGGTGATGGTGTTCCATCAGACCCAAGGCTGTTAAGAAGCCCCATCAGCAGCTTCGCCCCTCTCTGCGAAAAATCGATGAGACGCAGGGCCAAGTTGAAGCGATGGCGGCCTATCCCGAGAGCTGCGTGGACGCCTCTGTGCTGGACTTCGTCGCAGACCTGTCCCTGGCCTCCCCGAGGCACCCTCTCCTTTGCGACTTTTCGCCCGGCGTCCCCTTTGGGGACCCGGCACTTGAGCTCCGAGAGGGAAGGCCCAGGAGGCTGGCGCAGTTTGAGGAGGGGACCCCGGAAGAAGAGGATTGCGAAGTAGATGAAGGGGATGGGGACGAAGAGGAGGAGGAAGAGGAGGGACGCGGGAGAGGACCCTCGATACTAGGCCGCCCCAAGAGGAAAAGGGTGATCACCTATGCCCAGCGCCAGGCCGCCAACATCCGCGAGAGAAAGCGGATGTTCAACCTCAATGAAGCCTTTGACCAGCTGCGGAGGAAGGTGCCCACTTTTGCTTACGAGAAGAGGCTGTCTCGGATCGAGACCCTACGCCTGGCCATCGTCTACATCTCCTTCATGACTGAGCTCTTGGAGAGCTGCGAGAAGAAGGAAACCGGCTGAGCCGGGTGGGATGGGGGTCATCCGCCCCCTCCTCGCCTGAGCGCGCGTGGGTCTGGGGTGTTTCAGGACCTAGCAGTGAGTGTCGCTGAAAGGCAAGTAGGGACGCCCCAAGACAGAACGGCTGACCTTCCGAAGATCGGGTTCAGTATTGTAAAATCCCCACAGCCCTCGGGAAGTGTGGCAGCTGTAGAGTTAATATACATGCGGTCGCCCTCAAAGGAATGGAGATTAGGGGCCAGAGGGCTGTTAACTAGGAGTCTGGACTGTGTGAGGCTCAAGCCCAGCATCTTCTGAGGGCTGAGTGGGTGGAAAGTTCACCTTCTCAAACGACAGAGTTCAGAGCTTCTATGGAGTACAATCTTTCCTCCTTCTTTTTTAAATAGAAATAAAAAAAAAATCCTACTTTTTAATTAAAAAAAAATTTTTTTTTTTAAAGACTCAAGAGTCGGGGCTGAACCATCCCCTACAGGAGGTCCTGTCTGGCTTGTGCTGGTGGGCACAGAACCACTAGGGGTGCGATGGTGCTGAGTTTTCTGATTAGTCAAGGGGTCTCGACCTCCCATGGGGTGGACAACGTGCAACAAGTGCACCAACCTCTGAGAAAGAATCATTCTCTCTCCTCTCTCCTCTCTCTTCATTCGCCCTTCTCCCTCTGGTCTCCACCTGATTAGGGTGATCAGAGACGAGCTGCCATTCTGATATTCCCAGAGAGACCTTAGCTCATAGCAAGGCAGCACGTAGCCAGATCACAGTGGCATTTACTCTGCGCCTTAGCTCGCGTGCAGATCGCCGCGTTGGCAGAAACAATAACCTTCTTTGTGACACTTCCCGCCCTGCTTGCGAGAGGTGGGCTGGCGGTACTTCTGGCCCTAAAGCTCGGGACTCTTCTCCACCTGTAGGAGGCCCTGAGCGCGCCCACGCCCTAACCGCCCTTGGGCTTCCAAATTTCGGTGCTCTCAGAGGGCTTGGGTCTTTCTAGGAGCTATGATGCCCGAACGCACTTAAATATCTTCAGCTGTTGGGAAAGGGAATTGCTTTCATTTTAAGGGTCTCCAGGGAGGCGAATAGTTAAAGGAGGAGATACATTTTGACACTGCAAAATGCTTGCGATGGAAAAGAGATTGAAGCAGGTTCACTGCTGAGAGGCGCCTCCAGTTGAACCCTTTGTCACTCCACAATTCTTCCTTCTTTGTGATTTGCTAGCACCTGAACTGGGGGTTTTAAGAAAGGAGAGGTTAAGTGAAGAGAGGAACTGGAGCAATGATGCCCGGTTAGCTGTAAATTCACTGCTCCTAAAGAATAAACCCCCAATGGTTATTCTAGCACTTCTTTTTGTCTTTCATTGCGCATAGGCATATTCAGGTGTGGAAGCACACATAGATAATTCTCTATCACACGTTTAAGATACTTCATATAATAGAATTCGTGTTATGAAGATGCAACATATACGTGTTCTGGAAAGTTTGTGAAACAAAAGTTCAAAAAAGAAAATTTGAATCATCCCACACTAAAACACTGTCAGTATTTTCATCTGTTTTCTTCTAGTCAATGTCTCTCTCCCTCCCGCCCCCCCTCCGCCCTCCCCTTTGCCCCCTCCATCCGATGTACTGATAGATTCAATGCATTTAACAAATACTGACTTTATTTTCACCTGGCATTATAGAATGAGCACTTTTCCCTTGACTTTATTAGTCAAACATGATTTTGATTACCGTATTGCATTGTCATGTGGATGTATCACAACTTAATCCAAATCCTTTACAGTTGGGTAGCTAAGACATTTCCTTTCAAAAAGTACATTAGGCCACAAAAAGCGTTCCTATAAATGCTTCTTCTTTGTAATTTTCTAATATTAGATTCCTAGAGCTGAAATCTCTGGGTAAAATGAACATACAGGTTTGTGAACACAAATGGCCAGAATTGCTTTTGCCAGTTCACACTCCATCCAACCAGCACAAGAAGGATTTTTCCTGTCCCCCCAGCCCCTTTGTCAGTACTTACAGCCCTTGAAACTTTTCCCATTTCTCCTTAACATAGGAACTGGATTAGTTCTGAAATGAGCCCCTTCACCTCCACCCCCCCCCCTTTTTAACTCTCTCTTTCCACTAGGATTCTTTTCACCTCTGCTATAAACACATTGGAACAAACAGGTAAGAGAAAAAAATATAAACACTAAATTAACCAAACAATAACAAAACCAGGAAATTAATTATTTTCTAATTCTCTATCTCTAGCACTTTCATTAAGATAAACTGAGATTTGGAAAATGACCTATTTATCTGTTTTATGAAGTAAAATTGTTTGTTTTCCTCTTCTTTCTCTCGACAACGTTTTAGTTACCTAGATGATTATATTCGTATCTTTTAAGATACATTTAAAATTACTCATTTTGATACATGAAACAAAAATAGTTATTTCCCAATCCAAACAGTATTCTGTTCCCCAACTCCTCATAATCTCTAGTGGCTCCATCAAAACCCTACATTAATTTACCCAGTTGTCTATTCGTTCAATCAAGTATTACCTTTTTATAGATAGTGTGGATGGTTTCAAAATTGAAAAGCCTTCCTTCAAGTTCTTCTGGAAATTAAGCATCATTTTTTGAATATCTGCAAATGTTGAATAAGTAAAAAGATATGGGGATTCAATTCTTGGAGTCCTTAATATTTTGTTGGAAGAACCAGTTTTGAAAATCAGAAATAACACAGAACTAGGTAGACAAGGGACCAAGCATCACTGGGTCCTGAAAAGTAAATGCAGCCATTCATTTTCCTTATTCCTCTTCCTCATATTTCATCTTACTGTTATGATCTGAGTAAGCACATAATATTCCTATAGTGAATGCCTCTTCGGCATAGTAAATAATATCTAATGAACTTCTAAATGGAAAGGTATTACTCTATTATCTTTGTTGTCACTAAAAAACTACATTCACTGTTCTTATAACTGTTAGATTTTACAAATTCTTTGCTTTTTGTAAGTTTTTACAAGTCCCAGAATGTGATATCTTTTAAGTCATTATCATAATCATTCTACCACTAAAATAATTTGAAGCCTAGTAAGGATCAGAAACACAGAGAAATTAATTGATTTTTATTATTTACACCAAATCATCAATAGAAATAGAATGAAATGATCCACATCCCAACATTAAATCTGATGCACCACCATACTTTCACACAACTTTTCTAACCAGTGTTTTGTTTTAGTTCTCCCTATGGTAGGTCCATGTAATCAGTGTACTTTGTAATAAAAACCTTTTTTTATAATACAGCACATGCTAAGTTAAAATTGGTTGTTGGTTTACTCTTTATAATTGTTTTAGTCAATATTGATGGAAACATCAGTATACATTGACTTTTTAATAATTTCTACCATTTTTTAATCCTAATGGTGTCAGTTACTTTAAAAAATTATAATTGGTTCTTGAAATCTCAAAGTTACTTGAACATTTAGAATCTACATTTTTAGATGTTGCTTGGAAGCAATTTATTCTCTCTCTCTCTCTCTCTCTCTCTCTCTCTCTCTCTCTCTTCACTAAAAACTGCCTTTTGGTTTCAAACTAAGTTCCACATAACTCTCAGGTTACTATTAGTATTCAGACATGCAAACCATGAAAAGATATAAATGAAATCATATTTGAAAGGTATAATTAAACTTTTCAAAGAAAGCAAAATATATCAGAAGCTTTTTCATTAACAGGGAGCCACTCAGACTGATTATCTTCTACAGTTAGTTGCCCAATTTGAAAGCAGATCTGGGAAAAATTAGTGTTGGAGGTTCAGCCAAATATTCTGCTAGTATGCATGATTCCTGAATGAACATACAATTAAGGCCTGTAGGTTGGTGTTCATTATCACACTTGTCAGCATTCCCATTATAAAACACTCTGTGGAATTATGACATGGTTATCAAAATTGTGAGATGAATCTTGGTGAGCAAAATTTTAGGATATATTTTCTTCTTGATTACAAATCTTCAAAAGAAACTTCAAGCAGAAAGAAGCCACAAGTACATTTTACAGTTCCAAAATGTACCTGTAACTTTAAAAACAAGCGGATTCATTTAATACAAATTAGATAATTATTTTGTTTTCATTAAAAAAACTAGTAGATAAATACTGAATATTAAATATTAAGCTGACTTCTTCAGATTGGTATTATTCATTAAATTGTGTTTCAAATGTTTTTCTATAAGTGGTGAAGTTTTGCTATATATCTTATAGCTTGGCTTAAATTCACTCAAAGATTTCTGAACTTTGCCAACATTTTGGGTGAAGTTAGGCCCAAGTTCTGGTCAGCACCATCTCTTCCTGTGAATATTGGCCTAAAAAAAGGTTACAAAACAAGAGTCAGCAGTTCTGACCATTTTGTTTTGACTTTGGGGTTTCTTTGAATCCAAAGCTCAAAACCAAACCTGGCGGAGAAGGAGAAGGAAAGGAAAGTAGCAATGCAAACTGACAGGAATAAAATACCAGAAAGATGGAAAAACTTCTGCAAGTCTCTATAAACCAAAGCCTATAACTTTATGACACCAAATTTTTCATTCTGTGACTAGAACACATTCCTTAGAGGAGTAAAAGAAAATGCAAAGAAAAGCATAGATATATTTTAAAACATTATTTATGACTGATACTTGGTAAAATATCATCCTTTATTTGGCAGAAAGCAATGAACTTTAAATATTTGGTAAAATCAAAAATTTGAAAAATAAGACTGATAGAAATCATTATAATAAAATGCCTTATATTTCTTAGTGCTTATTTTAAAAATACCATCCACTTAGCTTCTCTAATTTGATCTTCTGCATTGAATTTCCATAAGATCTAGAAACTCTCAATTAAATTGAATCATCCATGTGCCATCTTACACATTCTTTCTCTCATCATTGAAAACAGCATGATGCTGAGCTTCCTAAAAGAGGACTGATGGTCACATATAAGCACACATCACTTTGAAAGATATTGCCTTCAAAGATCAAAAGCACCTTAACACGTTCTGTGGATGATAAATTATACAAAAGGCTGGTAGGGTCTGGCTTCCTTAAAGGCCAGATTTTACAACTTTCTATTTAGGGCTCTGTGAAGGAGAT